AGAGCACGGTCCTCTCCGAGGCTGGTTTATATTTAGCTCCTCTGCTCTGTGCGACTGGGGCACCCAGCTCCAGCGACGCTTCTTTTGAAGTCTTCGAAGGCCACAGATGTGGGAAACAGCACAGGATTTGAAGCGAGCAGAGCCCAGTGCCGGCCGGCCCCTTACCAGCGCGGGTGCCCTTGGGCACGTTCTCTTATCCCCTCTGAGTTTCAGCTCTTTTATCTGTAAAATGGGGATAAAAATATCTAGCTCTTATCAAGAGTTCTTTGTAGAGTCTAAGGTTTATGTAAATGTTCTCATTTTGAACCCACTGCGCGACGACGTAAGGTGTCCCTCAAATGACAGGTTCAGGACGCTCTGATGAGCGGTTGTTTCTGCGGGTCCTCGGTCAGCTGTCTCCGTCCCTGCATGCAGGGCCAGACCAGGGGAAGGAGCCACCACCCTCTCCCCGTCCGGGCAGGGTCCAGTCACCCCCCTGGTTGATCCGTCCCCCAAGCACGCTGCCCCCCCCCCCCCGGGCATTCCACCTGCTAGAAAAGGGAACCGTGGACAGACAGTGCTGGGAAGACAGATGACGACGCTGGTGAAAGTATGTGAGCTCTTCGAGAGACCAGCCCCGCCGATTCCAGGGATGTCTGTGAAGGTCGTTGGAATGTAAAATATGATCTTCGGGTTGATTAATGTCTATTCTGACTTCTTTGTCTCTTGGCTTTGAGGGGCTGGGAGAAAGGTCCACAGATTTTTTTTTTGTTTTTTTGTTTTTTTTATTAATACAAATAAGTAAAGTCCAAAGAAAGCAGAGGTCAGTGTCTAACGGTGGCAACCCATCAGCCATCAGCGCATGGTACCGTCACCCTCCGCACAAGCACCCCAATCTCCACTGCAGTGGGTCGGAGTCCAGCCTTTGCAGGGCTCAACGCTCTGCACCCTCTTCCAAGCAGGCCTGTCTGCAATGCCCGAAGCCCTGGAATTAGACTCCATCAGCCAACCAAGTGCGAGGTGCTATGCAATCTGCTAAGAATGCAAAATGAATTACCAGAAATCCCTTCTCACGGGGAGCTCGCCTTTGAGGTGGGCAAATAAATGCAAAAACATAATTAATTACAGCCCTGGCCAGTTTGGCTCAGTGGTTAGAGTATTGGCCAGCAGACCAGAGAGTCCCAGGTTCGGTTCCCGCTAAGGGCACGTACCTCGGTTGCAGTTTGTCCCCGGCCCTGGTTGGGGTTGTGTGGGTGGCAGCCAGTCGATGTGTCTCTCTCACATCGATGTTTCTTTCTCTCTCTCCTCCCATCTCTCCTTCCTGCTCTATCTGAAGATAAATGCAAAAATATCCTCGGGCGAGGATAAAAAAAAATTAATTACAGCATAGAGTGCTCAGAACTCTGATAGAGGTGTGAGCCCTCACAGAGGACAGGGGCCCAATGCTCCCTGAGAGAGTTCAGGCAGCATCCCAAAGGAGGCGGCACCAACGCTGAATCTGGAAGAACAATAGCACGTCTGCAGGGGAGGGGTCCCAAGGTCAAGGAGGTAAAGAGAGGCAGGGAAAGTGTGTGGATGAGTTCAGGGAAACCCCGCTCAGAAGGAACATGGGGAGGCACAGCAAGTGACGCAGCCTGAGAGAGGAGGGAGGGGCCAGCCCACACTCCTACACCAAGAAGGAGGAAGGTGGGAGCCACTGAAAGGTGGGACGAGGTAGATGTCCAGATGAGAGGGCAGCTGAGGACAAGGAGCCTACGCTGAGGCACACAGAGTGTCCCTGCGGTGTGACCAGTGCAGAAGCAAAATTACAGCAGTTTGAAGATAACATCCATCTTAGATATGTATCGCTTCAGCATCAAAGGCACCATAACTACTTCCAAAAGGGCAAACCGAACTGTTTTGCATTTATCTTCAGATAGAGCAGGAGGGGGAAAACGAAATATCAATGTGAAAGGGACACATCGAGTGGCTGCCACCCACACAACCCCAACCAGGGCCAGGGACAAACTGCAACTAAGGTACGTGCCCTTAGCGGGAACCGAACCCGGGACTCTCTGGTCTGCAGGCCGACGCTCTAACCACTAAGCCAAACCGACCAGGGCCAAACTGAGCTTTTGTGTGACCCTAACACTAGTAATGGCTGAACTGTTAGGTTGGTTAAGTCAAAAGAGGTGACAGATCACAAGTAGGCCCCTTAGGGTTTGTCAGATAACTCAAATAGTATGTGACACCAATAAATATTTTGAGAGATTTGGAGGTCAACCAACACATAAGAGTTCAGAAGATGATGACAATAATCTTGTCCTAAATCTCCTCCAGTCCTGATAACTGTTAACATTTGGAACTAACCCTGAAGGACCGTATCTCTTTGTTTCCCCAGCCTTGCTGAGATATAACCTACCTATCACATTGTATAAGAACAAGGTGTGCAATGTGATGATGTGGTACATGCGCATATCGTGAAATGTTTGCCCCATGTGTCAGCATAACCTCTACCTCACAGAATGACCATGTTGCTGTTGCTATGGAGAGAACATTAAAATCCTGCCCTCATAGCAATCTTCCAGTGTTCAATACAGTATCATTTACTGCAGTCACAGTGCTGTACCTTAGATCACTGGAATGTGTTAGTCACGATTCTACTAAATAAAAGTAGTCATTCAAGTCTTGGGGGAGGGGGGCAGAACAGATGAACAGCCTGGAGAAGGTAACTAGGGAAGAAATAAAAGGTTTTTTAGAATCAGAGATTCTTCCTTACAGAGAAATAAGTAACCAGAGATGTCCTTGGGCAGCGAAATGGTAAGTTAAAGAACTTGTAGAATAGTGAAAACATGCTGTTCACCTACCAAAAGACTTAGCGCCTCACCGTGCTTCACATCGCCAGAAGATGGTTTTCAATCTGTCCTGAGCATCATACAATGTCCGTGGGCCCTTCCGGTTCCGTTTGTCCGTGGGCTGCACACTAAAGTGCGGCGAGAAGACCTAACCCTGGCGTGTTGTTCCGAGTACGACGGAGCAGGACCAGACAGGCAGACCACGTCGGTAAGGACGCCATGCAGTGAGATTAGTTTACCGCAGCAGGAGAAAGGAAAGTAAGACCCGGCAGTTCTCAAGCTACTGTCCAAAAGTCTGAGAATAATAAATTAGTTCCCAAAAACTGATGGTATCGTTGCAGTCAACCAAACCAGAAATGCATGATTTAAATTTTTTTAAAGAGTCTTTATTGATTTTTAGAAGGAGAGGAAGGGAGAGGGAGAGAGAAACATCGATGCAAGAGCAGAACGTCGATCGGCTGCCTCCTGCACGCCCCCCGACCTGCATCAAACCGGCAACCCTTCGGTGTGTGGGGGTGGGGGGAACCCCAAGCGAGCCACACCGGCCAGGGCAGTCCTGATTTACATTTCATACTTCTTTTTAAATTTTCTAATTTACCACTTGGTTGATGAAGCATTGACTCCTTGGGAGCTAGAATCCTTGAAGTCTCGGACATGCCCTCGTCACTTTTACATAGGATCCTACTAAACTTGTTTTAATATTAGAGAAAGAACTAAGGCAAGTTGCTACTTGGTAAATAGAATTATTCTGGTTCCATCGCCAACCTCACAGTTTTCCCAGTGTATGTACAAAACATAATAATGATGCCAAAGTGTGAGATACAGCTAGTTTCATAACCAGAGGGAACTGTGGCTTATTCTCTTACAGCGAATAACCAGATTTTCAAACCTGTATTCCCCAGAGACCCTAAGCAGTCCTTGCTCTTCAACGATCCCTTAAAAAAGGCAGTGTCCGTGGGTGCTGGGGCGTCCACCGTGCAGGGAGGGGCACAGCCCCTCTCCCCAAGGGACTGAGTGCAGGGCAGGAGGGCAATGGGTCTCCAGAGAGGGTGATGCTGTGCTAAGAAAAAAAAAATACACATAAGTATTTCCTGCTTCTTTATTCTGGAATCCAAATGTTCTGCATTTTAAAATAGAATAAATGATCTCTAAGTTTTCAGTCAAGTTGGGACTACCCCACATCCTTGGAAGCGCCAATTCCTAAGCACCCCAAGCTGGCACCAAGCATGGCATGGCCCTCAGCCTGGCACATGTGTGTCTCTGACGCTCCCACGCCGACTCCCACAGTCCCAGGATGGCTCTGTCTCGGCTTGACCACCTGCTCCACCGCCAGGTGGTTTGCGGTTTGGGTTTGGGGCTATTTCGTGTGTATTTGGCTTTTGCTTGTTTGTCTGCAATAACCATCAAGACCTCCTCCCCTACTGCATCTCCCTTACAAGCTCCAGCTACGCGATGAATTTGCCAAACTGATCCTTAGACATGGCCTAACCTGTACTACACAGTCACATTTTATGATGTGGGTAAACGTGGTATCTGGGACAGTTACAGATCACTATGGGCTCATTTGTCTAGGCTGCCGAAGGCTTTAAAAAAAAATTTTTTTAAGAAGCCTAAATAAGAATTCCAGGAAAGAAAAAAAAAAAGGCCAACTAAGTTCTATGGGCCAACTAAGTTCTATGTAAATAAAAAAGAAAATGAAGCAAAAGATTTTCCGGTGACTAAACCAGAACTTATTCCTAGGACTCGTATCCGACGGTAACAGTGACTTAAAATAAATATAAAGGACCTAATTCTCAAATCACTGGGTGAGAAAAGTGCTCAGCATCCTCAGAGTTCTGACAAATAGTTACTGAGCAACCGCTAAGTGACAAGCCCTGGACTAGACCCTGGGGTCACTGAGATGTCACTGGGAACCCAGAAGTCAGAAAACGGTGCAACACAATGTGACACCTTCTGTGTGGGGCAGAAGGAGGCTCCGAGCGGCGGCTCAGAGAATGATCCAGTGATGGCACGTACTGGGATCACGCGACCAGGATCGCAGGAAATCCACTCGGGCACTACATGGGGATAAAACCTCGGCGGGGACTGTGACTTAGGCCCCTTCGCCGTCCCGGAGACAAGGTGCGGTGTCCGAGTGTTTGCCGGGCTGCTCGGACTCCCTGCTCACTACTGCTGCTTCCTTTGCAGAACGCCCTGGCCAAAGCCACCGTGAAGGAGCTGGCCACCCTGCACGGCACCAAGTACACCTATGGCCCGGGGGCCACCACGATCTGTGAGTCCTGGGGACTGTGCGGGCGAGCCCAGAGGGGCGGCAGGGGTCCCAGAGTCTTCTCTTTCTGCTCTTCTAAAGCTCTTGCCTGGCGGTGGTTTTGTTTATATATATAATATGTCATGGGCTTTCTGTTCAGATAAAGAGAGGAGAGTATGTTGCTTTGAACCCACGGCCACATTGGCTGTCCGAGCATCTCCTGTGCGCCAGCCCTGATGGGTGCTCAGGAGGAGGAGGAGGAGGAAGGGAAGGGAGGGACCAGCACAGTCTTCCCAGAGCCTGCAGCAGGGAAGCGGGCACGTGGATGTGGGTGACCTAAGCGGGGAGCACAGGAGAGAGCACATCCAGGACTGGCAGCCAGCCTGCGGTGGCCGCGTGGCTTCCGGGGGGCACAGGAGGGGCGTGTCCTGGCTGAACAGATGGCAGGGGGGAGCTGCAGCCAGGCCCTTGGGCGTGGGGTGCAAGCCCATGACAGGAGACACGGCACGAGGATGGGGCTACGCCGGCCTTGGATTCGCCGGCACATCTGCGGGCTGTTTTCATTTCCTACCAGTATTTTCCTTTGCATGATTTCTTCCTGCCCTGGGTCAGAAAGTGCTGGAAACACAAGGAAAAAGGCCCAGTGTGTCATGGAGGGGCCTCCAGTGCTTTGGAGAGGCTCCCATCCTGAATCTTAAAAAAAGCTTTATATAGAAATAGTTCTCCGTGTTCTTGTCCTTCTTGAAACTGCTCTGAGTCGGAAGACGTATACTATTTTCTCGAGGGGTTCTGGCAGAAATGACCCCTCTGTTCATATACGACTTCTCCTTGCCTATTTTATTCAGGCTGGTTCAGTGCGGGTTCGTTCTGGGAGGCCTGGGGGGGCAGAGGCACACCCTTCCTTTGTCCTGACCTCCCGGGGTTGAGCCGCGGCCTGCGGCTCACTGGGGGCAGTAAGTCTCTGGCTGAATTAAACGGATGAGCGAGAGAACAAATGAACGAACGGCCGATGAAAGAACAAGCGACTGAGTAAATGGATACATAACCTATGACATCACGCCTGTCCCTGAGTGGACACTGGGTGAACGGCTGGTCCGCATGGGGCCTGTGCTGTCACCACAAGCTCTTCTCAATTTCCCAGCAGACACACATCCTTTCCCAGGAAGTATGTGTATTTTGTAAACAAATCACATACTATGTAGCACAGTTCACCCTAGCATCCAGGCGCGCTGAGAAGTGTATACATTACAGTCGCAGGGTGTTAAACACATCATTCCCACCGGTAACAATGTTCTCATGTTTTTAAACAGCGCCCACATCTTTATGACCCAGGTGACTAGAAGCAGCCTACTAGATTACTTTGCACAGTGAAACATTTCTAATTATATAAAGGAGGCTGGCATTTTTTTAAAAAATTTCCTTCCTAGATGTAAAGGTTTTTTTTCTGCCGTTTGCACATTTCAGATCCTGCTGCTGGAGGCTCTGACGACTGGGCTTATGACCAAGGGATCAAATACTCCTTCACCTTCGAACTGCGGGACAAAGGCAGATACGGCTTTGCCCTGCCCGAGTCCCAGATCCGGCCGACCTGCGAGGAGACCATGCTGGCCATCAAGCACATCGCCAGCTACGTGCTGCAGCACCCCTACTAGCTGAGCGAGAGGGCGTCGTTCTAGAGGCTCTCTCTCCTTTCTGCCGGGACTCGCATTTCTGTCCGTCTGGACGCCTCCAGACCCCCGTCCCTCTTTGACGCTTCGGGGTCATTGAACCAGCTGGCAAAGTAGTAATAAAAGTGAATCAGTATCATCAGAAAACCTGACTGATTGCTTTCTTCTTTGGGGGGAAATGAAGTGAACAAGTAACCAAGCAAGCTGCGCCCCAGGACTGAGGTGGGTCCGCCACCCATGGGGGGTCAAGCCCCGGGGTGCGGGCCAGTGTGGGCAGTTATGAAGGGGGCTTGCAAGGGAGAATGAATGGGGGACATTCTGGATCGTAAACCATAGCACAGGCGAGAAGCGCCCATGGCGGTTTCGCTGTCATCCCACTCAACTCATTCAGTTCTTTTGCGGGCCGTGTGCTGCACGCCAGGCCCTCCGCCAACACCTGAGAACTGAGCAACGAAAAGGGAAGCTCACAGTTCTGCCCCAGTGGTGGTATAGACCATTTGCAAACACAGGCATGAAGCAAAGTCGCTGCACTTATCGTCGGATAGTTTTCGTTGATTGACGTTAAGCAAGTGAGTGCTGGACAAACCGCATTAAAGGAAAAACGTTGCAGTGTATACGTGCCTGATGTGGAGAAGTACTGAGCCTGAAGAATGCTTCGCGACCAGCTCGGCGACAAGAGCGCCCCGCCAGGCCCTGGGACTAGTCAGAACGGAGAGATGAAGCCCGAGAGGGCGAAACTCCGGCGTTGAAGAAAGAGGGGCCCCGGTACAGCGGAGGAAGGAGGCGAGACCCTGCCAGGCAGATCAGCTGAGGATCTGGGACACTGGTCTAGGAACAGTGGAAAGCAATGAATGACATTAAGTTGTATATGACATGATCGGTTTTTAAAACACCCACCAGGCTGAGGTATGGAATGCAGACTGGAAGTAAAACAAGAGGTGCCAGGAACCCTGGCTGCACCCCAAAACCACTCCTGGCTTGAAGCTTCCCAGATTCAGAACGGAACATGCGAATAGTGAAGTATGTTGGGCAGAGTTCAAATTTCAAAATATTTTGTATTTAGTTATAGTTTGGGGACATCTCTTACTTTAAAACCATAGAACAAAATATTACTTCATTGTTTTCTATGTGGATTCAAGGAAAATAGGATTCCTCATCTAGCATAATGTATTGAAATAACTAGGACAGTGTTCTAGTCAAAAAAAAAATAAAAAATTTTCCATTTTGTGCTCACCACCAAAAGAACACACAATAGAGTGTACAGACATCGACTAATAATGTTGTACACCTGAATTTATATAATGCTATTAACCAAGCTTACCTCAATAAAAAATAAATTAAAAAATGATAGTGTGTGACAGAACACTAAAAAAGAATTATTTGAAGTCACAACGGTTTAAAAGTTGTCAAAATGAAGAATGATTAATTGCAGTCATTGTCCACTAGATGGCAGCAGTAAAACTGCTACAATTTGTCAAGCAATCATCAAAATAATTGAGTAATACATTGTTTCAATAAGAAGATAAAAAGGGACATCCTTGCCCTGGCTGGATGGCTCAGTTGGTTGGAGCATCATCCTGTGAACCAAAAGGTTGCAATTTCGATTCCCAGTCAGGGCACATACCTGGTTTGCGGGTTTCATCCCTGGTTGGGGCATATATGGGAGGCAGCAGATCAATGTTTCTCTCACATCAATGTCTCTCTCTCTCTCTCTCTCTCTCTCTCTCTCTCTCTCTTTCTCTCTCTCCCCCCACCTTTTGATTCTAAGATTCAATTAATAATAATAATAAAAAAATATATCCTCAGGTGAGGATTTTTTAAAAAGAGAGACATCCTTAAGAGCAAAAAAAAGAGAAATTCCTATAAACTTTCTTTATTTATTTATATTTTATTTTTGTTACAGATGTTTCTCCATTTATTTATTTATTTATTTGTGTTACAGATGTTTCTCCTTTTTCCCCCATTGACACCCTCCTCCCCCTCCCTCCCCACCCTGTCCCCAGCTTTGTTGTCCATGTCCATTGTTCATGCACACATGCATGTAAGTTTTGTGGTTTATCTCTCCCCCACCACCCCTTCTTCTGGGGATTGTCAGTCTGTACCCCACTTCCACGTCTCTGGGACTACCCTGTTCCTCAGACTGTTATGTTCATTATATTCCACAAATAAGTGAGATCATATGATACTTGTCTTTCTCTGTTTGGTTTGTTTCGCTTAGGATAATACTTTCCAGGTCCCTCCATGTTGTCTCAAAGGATAAGAGATCTTTCTTTCTTACAGCTGCATAGTACTCCATTGTGTACATGTACCACTGCTTTTTTATCCATTCGTCCACTGATGGACATTGGGCTGTTTCCAGATCTTAGCTATTGTGAATAGTTCTGCTATGAACATGGGGGTACATATATTCTTTCTGATTGGTGTTTCAGGCTTCTTAGGGTATATTCCTAGCAGTGGGATCACCAGGTCAAATGGCAGTTCAACTTTTAATTTTTTGAGGTAACACCATATTGTTTCCATAGTGGCTGCACCAGTCTGCATTCCCACCAGCAGTGTACTAGAGTCCCCATAAATTCTTAAATAGTACTGATGGTAATTTTTTAAAACAGTGTAATTTAGCTAAATTATCTTTCTCCATCCTACATTTCAGTAGCATCCATGCTGTGAATTGGAAGGTTAACTCAGTGGTGGTTTCCTGAGTGGAGTGTTCTGGCTGGAGGTGTGTCCCTGACTTTGTAGACTTTCTACGGGTGCTCCCTTCCCCCGCCTCTCAGTAAGGGGTGCTCGGGCCCAAAGTTCAGACGTCATGTGGCTAAACCATAAGAAACCCTCCAAAGTCTCTAAATTGGGTGTTTTAAAGCAGAAATTAGGAATACAGATGGACTTTTCTAAAAGTACAAGGAATCTTTAAAAAGAAGAAGAAGGATTAAGAAAGTAAATAACACAAATCTCGTTTAAAATCCCATGTATCGCCCTGGCCAGTTTGGCTCAGCGGTTAGAGCGTCGGCCTGCGGTCCGGAGAGACCCGGGTTCGGTTCCCGCTAAGGGCATGTACTTCGGTTGCAGTTTGTCCCCGGCCCTGGTTGGTCATGTGGGTGGCAGCCACTCGATGTGTCCCTTCACGTCGATGTTTCTCTCTCTCTCTCCTTCCTCTCTCTCCCTCCCACTCTATCTGCACAAAAAAAATAAATAAATAAAATCCCATGTATCCAACATTTCCTGCACCAGAGACATTGTTGCTACAGCTCTTCCAGCCACAAGTTAACAGCTAACTGGCTAAGAGTGTCACTTGCCTGAACTAAACCAAAAAAAAAACAGAAAGAGGAATCTGTTCTAACCCTTCCCCGTGCCGTAGTGTCATATGCCCTCCTGCCCAGCTGACCATAGGCTGCCGAGGGTCTCAGCCCAGACGTGCCCACCCGGGAACCCCGGGCTGTGGGGTACCTCTCCCCCTCCCTGCTCTAACGTACTCCCAGCCCGAGGTCCCAGGAGGGACTCTGAGTCCGACCTTCAGTTTCGCCTTCTCATCTCCCAAAGCAGCAATTACCCAGCAGCACCTGACCCTTTCCTTTCTCCAAGCGCTCGCTGCGAAACAGCAACCCGGTGTCCACTCGGATTGTGGGAGTTCTGCAACTAGAATCACGTTCCATGTGTTCGTCTGCTTCTGCCAGCGAACCTGTATGAACCGGCCAGAGAGAAGGTCCGTTAAGGAGGTTATTGGGTGCCCGATGGGGTCTTGATGGTCCCGTCAGGTCATCTCATTGGAGCAGAGCGTCACCCTCACCCTGGCCACGTCTGACCCTGCCTGAATCGCACACCCCGGTCTTGGTCCAGAGACGCCCCCTTTGCTGCAATGAATGGGCCCAGGTTTCCCTGCAGCATCTTGCGGGGAGGGTTTGTCTCAACATCCACAGCTGAAGGTAACACATTTTTCTTTCACCATGTCCTTTATGAAAGGTGTTCCGGAAGTTCATCGGATTTGATTTGAAGACAGACAATTATTCGAAGGATTCTACTAACGACATGAGAATGTTGACCTTCGTTTTCTAGGGCATTTCTCAGAGCAATCATGTCTGAAAACATACAGAAAAGCATAGTTTGAAAATTAATGTGCTAGCCCTGGCCGGTTTGGCTCAGCGGTTAGAGTGTCGGCCCACGTACCAGAGAGTCCCAGGTTCGATTCCCGCTAAGGGCACGTGCCTCGGTTGCAGTTTGTCCCCAGCCCCGGTCTGGGTTGAGAGTGGCAACCAGTCGATGTGTCTCTCTCACATCGATGTTTCTCTCTCTCTCTCTTCCACTCTCTCTCCCTCCTGCTCTATCTGAAGATAAACTCGAAAATGTCCTCAGGTGAGGGTAAAAAATAAATAAATAAAATAAAAATGAATGTGGCCTTTTAACCCATGGTTAGACATAAACTACTGAAAAACCCTAGGAGTACAAAGATCCAGAAAGATCGGAAATGATTGCCATGTCAAGCATTCAATTTCACACCTCCTTTTAAAGAGACTAACGTAACCGAGGAAACAAATTGTCTTACACGGTTGATCCTGAAGCGGGGTGATGCCCAACAGCTACTGCACCCCACGCATTTGCCAAGACCTTTGGTAAGTCTTGCTGCAGTGACGAAAAGTGTACTGAACTATGCTGGCCAAGAAAGCATACCCGTTCTGAGGAAAGGCTCCAGTATATTCCTGAACTCTGTCTATGTTACGATTCTACAGAGGCTAAATACATTGGGGAGACGTGGCAGGTCTTAGAAGCATCACCCATCTACTCCCTGTTCCAGACACGGGGAGCCTTCCACAGTCAATACGCAACAGACATTAAGAAGTCAAAGATTGATCTATCAGAGTCTTCGCCCGAGAGAGATCAGGAGCCTTCAAACATTTACTTAGATCCCAAAATAAAGTAGAAGTGTCCTTCCTCCTTGACCTAGAAAAAACGGAGAAGCCTTTTCCACACGGTTTTAAAACCGGTCCCACAGAAAAAGGCTTCCAGAGATATATTAGTGTTGGGATTCACGGGGATGTCTGTTTTCTTCTTCCTGCTTCCCTATATTTTGCTAAATTCTTTTCAGTGGGCATCTATTACTTTTAGAATCAGAAAATAAAACTCCAATAAAACAAAGGTACTACGCTGAAAAAAAGTCTTTGAACTAGTCCACATCGAAACGAATAGAGAGATTTCACCCCTACCGGTCAACACTTCAGTGTAGCGTGTGGTACACACTGATGCTCATTAGTCCTCAGCCTACCGTGGCCAAGGGTAAGTCTGCTAGCAGATCCTGGCAACTCTGCCGACCACCCGGAGGCAGAGCCATGTCCTGTAGTACCCGCCGTCCGCCACGTCCTTGCATATGCTGCATCTAGTCCTCATGGCCCCTTTTAGGGTCCCTGTTTTACAGACAAGAAAACCAGGGTCCAATATGACTAGGCAGCTTGCTCAAGGGGTAATGTAGCATCAAAAATGTGTTTTAAGGACCACCCTGCTATGTTCTGTGGCCAGATACCCAAAATTGTCCCAGGTTTCAAATGCAAATTTAAATGGATTCCTTCCATCATTCACCCCAAACATACAGTAGAGCAGTATTTTAAAGTGAAGAACTGGGTTCAAATCCCAGCCCTGTGCACATACCAGCTCTGTTACCTTGGGCTAGTTATTTGCTAAAAAAGGAATTTGCCGACAGGCGGTGTGGCTCAGTGGCTGAGTGTCGACCCTGCACCAAGAGGTCGCCAGTTCAATTCCCGGTCAGGGCACACGCCCAGGTTGTGGGCCGGGGGTGCATGCAGGAGGCAGCCAATCGCTGTTCTCTCTCGTCGGAGTTTCTGTCTCTCTCTCTCTCCCTCTCCCTTCCTCTTTCTCTAAAATCAATAAAGGAAAACAAAATTTTTTTTATAAAAAAGGAATTTGGCTCCCATTCCATCCGCAAAATGGGTATTCCCCATTGTCAAAGGAATATGAGTCACATGAGATTTCCTGCCCTACCTCTCACCCCCAACTAGAAAATAGGGGGTGCATTTCACCAGAACCCCGAGAGGAAGTCAGCTGCCCCTCCAGATAAGAGCCGACACATAAAGCTGGCGGGAGGCCGGGACGCGCAAAGCAGCGCCATGCGGTTCCTCCTGCCTGTGGCCTTGGTGGCCACCACGCTGGCCGTTCCCCCTGTCCGCTTCGACAGGTGAGCTGCGCCCGCTGCGCTGCGGTCTCCGGGCGGGGGGCCGGGGGTGCTCTCCAGCTCACATTCCCCACCGTTTGCTTTTGTGAAGGGAGAAGGTGCTGCACGTGAACCTCCAGGATGAGAAGCAAGCGAATGTCCTGAAGGGCTTGGCCGACACCCACGAGGTAACGGATTTCGGGAGCTAGCGTACCTTCTCTTTCTGCTGTCTAATAACTGCTGCTTTTCTACTTTATGTTTCACCCCAAAGACAAGGGTGAGGGAAGTGTCAGGAGCCACTTGGATAAGTCAGACAATGGCCGATACTTCTTTGTTTTTGTTTTTCCCCAGACCACCACTTCCACTTTTCCTCCCAAAAGCCTTGCAAATGAGCTTTTTCTGACCGAAACTGTGAGATAAGAGGCCTCTTCCCCGTCCCTGCCAGGGCCTCGCCCACACCACTGAGCTCACTCCCACCCATCTTCACTGTGCGTCATTTCTGTCAGAGTATTATCAGCCGATAGCATTACGGACCTGGATGACGATTTCAAGATGAGACCCTTTCCAAGAACAGGTCCATTTTATTGTATTTATTTGTTCATTTATTCATCCTCACCCGAGGATATTTTTCCATTGATTTTTAGAGAGAGGGGAAGGGAGGGAGGAACGGAGAGAGAGAGAAACATCGAGGTGAGAGAGACATATTATTTGGTTGCCTCCCTCAAGACCCCAACCAGGGCCAGGGATCCAACTTGCAACCTAGGTATGTGCCCTTGACTGGGGTCGAACCCTCGACTCTTTGGTTTGCAGGCTGACGCTCTAACCACTGAGCAAAATCGGCCCGGGTGAGAGCAAATCCATTTTCAGAGGAAACTCTCAGTCAGATCAGCCGTTTAAAATCCAACAGACTGACAACAACCATTTCACCATTTGTCCAGTGGCCCCTGCACAAAGGTTCATGGGCCAGCCCCTTACAGACTCCATTTCAAACTCTCTAGCTGACTTTGTGTCATAATCTAACCTGCTCAAAACAGAAGAATTGAAGTTCAAAGACAGTAAATTAAATAATCAAGATTATACACCAGATTTAAACCCAGAGCTAAATCTGGGATTTAGTCTAGTCCCACACACCCTTATCTCCACTTCAGATCAATCAAAAGTTCCACCTAATCTGATTTCCAAATGTCTTTCCAACCCACATTTTTCTTCCCAGTCCCCCGCCACTGCCAAACTCACGTCGGCTGTACCTCTTACGGGGACCTTTTCAATAGCCCTGAGCTGGGATCCGAAGCCCTAGTCCCTCCCACACCGGACCCTGATTGGTTTCCCTAAACGTCATTCTTGCATTCCTCCACCTGAAGCTTTTCCACGAGGGGCAGTCGATTGTGGAAAGAGGGTGTTCTTCCGAGGTGCCAACACCAGCTGTGTGACCTTAGGCAAGTTACTTAACCTCTCTGGATCCAGCAGAGACTGAGCTAGTATTGGGGAGCGCTCACAGCAGCCTGGCCATGATAAGCACTGGAGAGGCATTTTCTGTTGGTGCTGGTGCAGCCAAGTCCCTCATCTGCCAGACGGTGGGCCTCTGCAGCCCCCTCCTCCCACCCCCTTTCTCTGGGATTCCCTGAGCCCCGCTCACCCGCGGCCGCCCTGCACACCTGTGCTCAGGGGGAATGTGTCCTTCTCTGCGTGGCTGGTCTTCCTCACGGCCCAGCTCAGGGAGCCTTCTCTGCCGGCAGCTCTCCTGACCCCGTCTGCCTGGCTCCTGGGCTCTTCCCACGTTGGCAATGACACCTGGAGCCTCCCACACTGAGTCTGAGCTTCTCAGAGTCCTTTAGGAGCCTCCTCAGCAGCCACACCAGCTTTGTGCCTGGTGCCGACTAAATGCTGCTGCACGTCCACGCGCCTGAAGGAGGGCTCCTCCCCACCCCGTTAGGGAGACAAAGCTCTGTCCGGAGATGGCCTCCCTAAGTCTCCCTCCAAGCACGACATCTCTCCCATCCAGCTCGTCTGTCGCTTTCGGGTCCACATGGACCAGTAATACTAGTTGGCTCCAGCCGTCTCATTACGGCGCATGAAGCCGTCCAGCAGGACTCAGCTCAGACACGGCCAGGCAGACGCACCAGAGCCGGCGTGTGGCTGGGAACTGGGCATGTCCTCGCACGGCCCAGGTGTCATAACCGAGGGTGATTTTGAAGAACGACAAGAAGTGGAATTCTCTCGATGTTGTCTTCATCTGAAGGCTATCCGCCTGGGCCTAGTCCCCAAATTTCGGGAACTCCCAGCCAGAGGGAGAGGGCGAGGGGGAGCCGGCAGGTAGCAGACGCTGCGCCCCCGGACCTCGCAGCCACGGGCGGCACCCAGGGGAGCCCCGTCAGCCCCACGCTCTGGGGCGCACTCTGAAACTCCGTCTTGAACTTGCCCGAGAGCATGCTCCCAGGAGAACGACGGGCTGAGCAGGGGGCCTCCCGCTGGACACGGAGCTGCCAGGAACCGAGGCCACAGGGGCATCTGGTTGTGAGGCTTGAACGGGAGAGGGGAGTGGGGGCCGTATTGCATATATGGTCCCAAGGAGACACTGATGCTGTGGCTGAATCAACTACAGATCAACCCCGAGATGGGGGAACCAAACAAACAGCCAGAAGCTGCTCAGTGCAGGTGTATTTATAGGTACAGTGTCGGCAGAGTGACTCAGAGCACAGACGGTTTTTGCCCACTGCGTAGTGCTCAGCAGGTCTCAGATGCACCTGCAACAATCCCATAGTGTATCAGAAGGGTCCATACCACAGCCACTCTGAACTCACATCCCCCCTAGAGGGTATGACACAGAGTCACTTCTTCTTTTTATCCTCACCCGAGGACATATTTTTTTCGATATTTTGTTCAGTGGGAGGGAGAGAGAGAAACATCGACATGAAAGGGACACATCAAGTGGTTGCCACCCGCATGACCAACCAGGGCCGAGGACAAACTGCAACCGAGGTACGTGCCCTTAGTGGGAACCGAACCTGGGTCTCTCTGGACCACAGGCCGATGCTCTAACCGCTGAGCCAAACCGGCCAGGGCCAGAGTCATTTCTTAACAAATATGTGTCAGGCGAGAAGACAGCCGTGACTAACACTGAACTCATGCCCACAGCTGGACTTCTGGTACCCCGATGCCCCCCACCACGTGGCCGGCAACATGACTGTGGACTTCCGGGTCAGCGAAAAGGAGTTCCAGTCGGTCCAGCTTGCCTTGGATCAACATGAAATGCGCTATGAGTAAGTCCTGTTATTCAGTCTTCACACGGGTTGGAGAGCCAACGTGTAGCGAGTCTTGAACTCGAAAGGGAAGTCGTTTTTCAACTGGGAAAACAAATGAGAGACATATCTGTGACACGAGATGTAGAATTACTTGCGATCGGACTAGGAGGCCGCCTACAGAGGTGATGAGCTCAGACCTGCCACTCAGCGTCCAGGCTGCGTGTGCTCTGCTCTGCGGGATGGCAGTGACCTCCGCCTGCCACTCCAACGCCAGCCCCTAGACAGGACAGTGTGCACAGCAGGTGTGGAGGGTGGAGCCACACTGCCACCCCCGCAGATAGCCACCCAGAGCTCGGGTGCTCCTGTGGCCGCCAGACCACATGTTATACCTGTGAGCAAATGTGTTTTCTTATCCTCACCCGAGGACATTTTTTTCATTTTTGTTCAGATAGAGTGGGAGGGAGAGAGAGGAAGAGAGAGAGAAACATCGACATGAAAGGGACACACTGAGTGGCTGCCACCCACACGACCCAACCAGGGCCGGGGACAAAATGCAACCGAGGTACGTGCCCTTAGCGGGAACCGAACCCGGGTCTCTCTGGACCACAGTCCGACGCTCTAACCATTGAGCCAAGCCGGCCAGGGAAAATGTGTTTTTATACTTGCAAACATGGAGTGATTTGAGGTACGAAGGGGTGCCATTTTAACTCCCCCAGCCCTTGTCATCCCAGAAGTCCCCTTTACTGAGACCCTCACCGCTCAAAACACTGCTAAGCACTCGCTCCTTGTCTTCCACTTGCTACCTGACTCCGTGCTGTCGCTCAAAGGCTCTTCGTCCGGAGCCAGACACCTTCCAGCTGCGGCACAGCGGGCTCCCCCCGTCACCACGACTTGGTCGCAGTGTGATACTTGCCACCATGGCCTCAGTAAATAGAAACCTCCCTGCAATTAAGGAAAGACATGTAAGACAAGTTCAAAAACATTCTTGTTCATGGCTTCATGGCTTCAAAAGTGGCAGGCTCTGTGCTTGGTGTTGTTTCAAGAGGGATGCAAAACAAATGAAGTCAGCCCTGGCCGGTCTGGCTCAGCGGTTAGAGCATCAGCCTGTGGACCAGAGAGTCCCGGGTTCGGTTCCAATAAGGGCACGTACCTCGGTTGCAGTTTGTCCCTGACCCAGTTGGGGTCATGCGGGTAGCAACCACTCAATGTGTCTCTCTCATGTCGATGTTTCTCTCTCTCTTCCCTCCTCTCTCCCTCCTGCTCTGTCTGAAGATAAATGCAAACAAATGTCCTCAGGTGAGGATAAAAATAAATAAAAATTGAAAAAAACAACAAATGAGGTAAATAAATGGGGACAATATATTCAGAGTTTATTTCTATCACCATTTAACTCTTTTTAAGTAATATAGCGATATGTGCGTTTCTATGTTTTTATACGTTGCACTATTACGTGAGAATAGACACTGTATAAACGTACCTCCGAGATCTCAGGAATCAGCAGTGCAATAGGAAGCGCCTGCTTATGCCAAGGTTCAGACGACAGCTGGGTCCCTTCGTCTGAAAGACACCACCCTATGTGCCCGCTGGTGACTGCGGCTCGTGATTCCCTTCACAGCCAGGCTTCTCGCAGGTGTGCCTCAGTTTCCACACTTTTCACACTGCCTCGTTGACACAGACCTGACTCCCACTCCCGTGATCAACGGATTGAAGTATCCAGCTCGAGCGAAAATCAATGTTAGCTGGCCAGTGTTGTGTAATCTGATTTGAACAGCAGGGTAATAATGAAGTATTATGTTTTCCTTGACATTTTGGTAATGTAGACCAGAAAAAAACTGGTCTCTTGCTATGAGTGTGATAGTGGAATAAATCACTGTGACGGAAGACACCTGGGCAGGTGGCTGATCTCCGTCCATGTTATCAAATAGTTCACATCAGCCCTTTCCTCTTTGGTCCTCCATGAGGCCCCCCCTAGCCTGAAACAATTCTGACTTCAAACAGAAGTCTAATTATCTAAATTCAGATCCTCATAAATATAGTGCGTTTTTCCATTTGTCTTAAGCCAAGCTACATCTTTGGTATCCACACCAAGAACCAAAGTGTTAAACTACCTATAAAAATGAGTTTGATCTAATTATGACATGCTTTCTAGACATTGGTCCAAATTAGTCACGGTTATAGGAAAGCCACATAATTTGATAGTTACCTTATTCAGAAATATAAATATGTAAAGATTTATGCAGACAAGAACTCTTTAAAACCTTGTCTTCAAGTACTAATTATATAGATAATTATATTTTTATATTAATTATATGTGTATTTGGTGTCAGTCAGTAAGAGAAGAGGGTTCTAGGAACAGAAACATCTGGTTGGACCCAGCACCAGTCTGAATAAAACCACATCACAAGGCTGGCTTGACACAATTTACTTAAACACCCTTCATTAGTACATATAAACCACTATTTAGCTAAAAGCATCTGTGTGTGATTTTTTTTTCCAGAAAATTAAATTACTAAGACAGATTTTATTTTAAAGTAGTGTGTTTGCTCCCTTTTTATTTGCACTTTTGCAAAATCATAAAATACCAAATAGAAAGTATAACATGTAATATACGAACAAACCCTAACAGACAGGTGGAAAACATCTGAACAGACAAAGTACAGTCATTCAACTAAGCCGAAAGGGGCCGACTTGGATTCAGCAGTTAAAAAAAACCTTGTGTTTTTACTGTTTTTATATATATATATATATATATATATATATATATATATATATATATTAGATATTTGTATTTTAGGTTATCTTTTCTTTGATCAAAAGTTAAAATTAGAAGATATAGAGTTGTTAATAAAAGGTAACGTAGAAAACCACTATTTAATAAATAGTAAAATTTAAATGATACAATTAAGTAAAATCTTATTAAGAGCCCCATAAGATTATGTGGAAAATGCAAACACAAAGATCTACATCAAACCGACAGAGCAACCATCAACACTTCATATTAATGTCTAATTATCGGATAATGCTCAGTACAACACAAATTTATATTCCAAGTATATACAAGGTCCTACAAAATAAGTATTTTAATAAAATAAGTTATTCTGATGTCTCATCCCATTTATTTTCCTTCTGCTCTACATTTCCATATATCACTTACCCAAGACAGGCGTGCTGACACCTGCTACAGATGTTGCCCAGATGTTGGTGACGGTAGAAAGCAGAAGAGCGTGCTAGGTAGGAGTGTGGATTCTGGAGCGAGGCTGTCTGAGTCCAGTCCCATTTAAACCACACATTCGGAGCTGAACTTGACAATGCATGGAACTTTCTCACCTCATTTTCTTCATCTTTAAAATGGGGTTTCATCGGGGTTTCATGAAGATTGACTCGGACCATAAAATGGCTCTTTGCCTGGTCCCTTTACTTCTGTTAGGAAGGATCACCATTGCCCTGGCTGGTTTTGCTCAGGTTAGAGCATCGGCCCTTGAACTAGAGGGTCTCAGGTTTGATTCCCAGTCAAGAGCACGTACCTGGGTTGCAGGTTCGGTCCCCGCCTTGTGTCGGGGTCATGCAGGAGGCAACCAATTGATGTGTCTCTCTCACATCGATGTTTCTTTCTCTCTCTCCCCCTCCCTTCTCCCCTTCCACTCTCTCTAAAGATCAACAGAAAAAAATATCCTTGGGTGAAAATTAACAAAAAAATAAAAGAAGAAGAAGAAGAAAAGACCACTTACATGTGTTTATACAATTGCACATGCACGAACAAACGCACACACACACACACACACACACACACACACACAGTGCATCAGGGGACAACTAGAGGCAGTCACCACATGTTCCCTTTACCTCCTGGTGAATAAGTTAGTGCCTTAAAGCTTATTCTCCAACACAGCGGTATGCCTCAGATGTTGGGAGATCCTCGTCAGCAGGTGCCATGTTTGATCCATGGTGACTCAATTCAGAGTGATCTGGGATCTTGTGGAAACCTGAAATCACGCTTTAGAGCAGCCCTGTCCTAGGGGTGTGTCAGTGGCGGGGACAGGGGGTCACATCATCTTATAAGGCACCATAACAATGACTCTGCCTCCCTGAAACATCCTTCCCCACTGCGGGCGCACACACACGCGCGTGCACACGTACACACACACAATGTTGTTGTTTTTTATACTACACACTTATGATAAAGTTTCATTTATAAATTAAGCCCCTTAACAGACTACCAAGAACTAATAATAAAATAGAACAATTATAACAATACATGGTGGTCTCTCTCTCTCAAAATATCTTACTGTTCTGTAGTCACCCTTCTTCCTGTGATGATGTAAAATGGTACCACGTCTGTGTAATAGGATGAAGCGGGGTACTTAGAATGGCGTGCAAGTTAAAATTTATGAATTATTTATTTTTGGAATTTTCCACTTAATATTTTTGGGCCTCCATGGGCCACAGGTAACTGAAACCTTAGAGAAAAAAACTGTGGATAAGGATGGACTCCTGTACCCTGGCCCACAGTCCTCTATCACTCCTTCTGTGCTCCTTTCTAACAGCAACAGGAGGGCACTTTGAAGTGGTCAAAATTGGGTTCATCTTGCCTCTTCTCTGAACTTCTCACCTGCCCCCTGACATTGAGACGCAGGTTTCTAGGGGAGTCGGTCACTGGGGAAACTTTGCACAAGCCTCGTAGGCTAAGAAAACCACAGGTCCGCCCTGGCCGGTTTGGCTCAGCGGTTAGAGCGTCCGCCTGCGGTCCGGAGAGACCCAGGTTCGGTTCCCGCTAAGGGCACGTGCCTCGGTTGCAGTTTGTCCCCGGCCCTGGTTGGTCGTGCGGGTGGCAGCCACTCGATATGTCCCTTCACGTCGATGTTTCTGTCTCTCTCTCCTTTCCTCTCTCTCCCTCCCACTCTATCTGTACAAAAAATATCCTCGGGTGAGGATTAAAAAAAAAAAAAAGAAAAGAAAACCGCAGGTCCCATGGCACTGTCCAGGGATTTCACTCCTTGGGATGGAGGCGTTGTGTAAGCGCTCACAGTGGGAGGTCAGATCTCTACTTCAAATCCCAACGCCTGTGTTTCACCAGCTGTGGGGACTTTGGAAATCTGCCTAACCTGCGTAAAAACGGCAGTGATAATGGTGTCCAGTTAAGTGTTGAAGTAAAGATTAAAAGATAAAGTGTAAATGCCATGCTGAGCCCAGAGCCCACAGGAAAGAGTGGATAAACACTAGCCATTCGTATCGTTATAGCCTCAGTAATACTTACTTATCTTTTCACCTACATTCAGAAATATTTTTAACACATTAAGCAATTATGGGAGTGCTAAAATAATATTTGAGAGAAAGTAATTTGGTTTAATATGTCTAAGTCCGGCTGCTGGTTATGGGAGGGGCTCATGAAAATAACATCTGGCCCTGGTTCTTCATTGTCAGCTTCGGGCTTAACGTCTAGTCCCCATCAGCCAGAGTCTGGCATTGTCCTGACGTCCTTTGTGAAAAGGTCATATTTCAGCTCACACAATTTTCTTTTGCTGCTCTTATCACAAGAGCAAACTTGGTATGTGTACGTCTAAAAATAGTCTGAGATGTGAGCTTCCTGTGATTAATTAATACTGCTTTATGTCACAAATCATCCTTTGGGGCCATAACATTTCTCTTTGGTCTTGTTCTTCTGCTTCTGTTAGTGTGGGTAGAGCAAACGCCACAAGCCTTCTTTAGAGCTTAAAATAACGAATTATATCTGTAGTGACCACACAAATGATAACTTCCGACCTTCTCACGCTTTGTGTGAGTTTTAGTGCAACATGTCCCACCTGATTCCAAAATTGTCACAATTTGTTCCCTCGGAAATCCCAGATTCATCATCGTCAAAAGCCAAGCAAACAGTGAGTTATGTATAATGTGTATAATAATGTGCTTGTCAGTGCTGTTAGTGGGAATCAATATTCATGAGCAGTGCTCGGTCTCGTGTGCTGAATAAACGCTAGTTAGTACACCTCATGTATGTTCTGCGTCCAAACTCAGGTCGGTCAGTCCATCGGCAAGAACAGACCGACAAGGGGAGCGGGTGCTGCAGGTTCCCAGTTCATCATCACGAGAAATTGAAGAAACCAGAGTCGAACAAGTGCATGCCATCAAAGCCTGGTCTGCAGACATGTTCAAACGGTGAAGGGCTTGTCAGTCCTGTGACTCATCTACTGCACTGATGTTCACCGGGTGTCCACGGCATGCCACCTGCATCTCGTGTTCCACTTAAATCCGTCCTCACCACAATCCTGACGGGCATGTTTGGTACCGCTGCACAAGTGAGCAAACTGAGAATCAGAGAGAGAGTTAACCCGTCCAAGGTCACGTTAGATATTAAGTAGCCAAACTGGGGTTGGAATCTAAGAATGTTTGATCACAGGGCCTCTTTCTCCTAGATTCCTTCCTCCTTACCTGATGGAAGTTATGGAAGTGAATGAGCGCCTGATACTGTCCTAAATGACGAGAATAAATGTCTAAAAATAGACAGCATTTTCCTACATAGGATTCATTGCTAATAGAAGAAAAATATCATCAACAAAAGTAGTTTTTTATATGAAAATGGGAAATGAGGTCACCCAAATAAATTGTTCAGATAAGTAAAACTTCATAAAATCTTTCACTTTAAATATTTCATGGAAATATTTTCATTATAAGCCACACTGCCCTACAAATTTGAGTACATTGAATATAGTTAACTTTTGGTTGAGAAATTACCATTATCAACACACGTTGACATACTGTGCTATAAGACAGTGATCTTTTCAAAGGCTAAGTTCTCAAAATAGGTTGGGTAGTTTGGACTTACATTTGACCCCTGTGTTTCCTAAGGCTCTGTCAAGGTCATTTTACTTTGCTTTTGTTGCTGTCAGCTGTCACCTACGGACGGCATGCTTGCTTCCAGCGAGCCATTTTCTCTGTGTCCAATGCATTCCTCTGAGGCTAAGAAAGCTTTTTATAACTATATCTAAAATAAGGTGAACCAGGCATTTTGTAAGAGTGTCTCTAAATCTCCTGTGGCTGCAACATAATATTTAAAATTTTAATTGTAACCAGACATCAATCAACAGTAATAATTTGATGATATAGACACTGCCATATTGATCTCAAAATGGCAATCAACATTATATATACGTAATGGTGAAAGACAGATTTTCTCGTTAAAATCAGGAAAAAAAATAGAGCAACACCTTCTTTCACCACTGTTAATTCCCTTGTCAGAGAGCTTAGCCAATGCAATAAAGCAACACATAAAAAAGAAATAGAGCCCTAGCTGGTTTGTTCAGTGGTTAGAGCATCAGCCTGCAGAGCAGAGAGTCCCAGGTTCAGTTCCCACTAAGGACACGTACTTCACTTGCAGTTTGTCCCCAGCCCCAGTTAGGGTCATGTGGGTGGCAACCAGTTGATGTGTCTCTCTCATATTGATGTTTCTCTCTCTCTCTTCCCCCCTTTTTTCCCCTCTCACTGCAAATGAAGATAAATGCAAAAAATAAAAAAATGTCCTTGGATAAGGATAAAAAATAAAATAAAAAATAAAAATAGATGTTGGAAAAATGTAGAAAATATAATTTTTGGAGAATAACTACTAACTACACAGAAACCCTAAAGACATAACTAAAAAAATATCACAAGTAAAAATATAGTTTTTAAACTAATATAGTGGCTATTTAATAGATAACCAAAGCAATACATTTTTTAATTTATAAATAATAATCAGTTCCTATATTTAGTGAGAAAAAAGCCACTCATAAGACTAATAAAAATATATTAATAAACAAAAAATATAAAATTGTACTGAAGAATAAAAAAGCTAGCTACATTATGCTTTATTATTAATTATAAGATTTTTCTCAAACTTATTTATAATTTAATATAATTCTAATTAAAAGTCTGTTTTTCTAATAATTTCTAAAATTATTCTGACAAAACATTTATTAAAGTAGGTGAAATTACTCAAAAGAATTGGAAACCAAAATGAGAGGAGACTATGAAATATTAAAATTAAATATTAAAACTATAATTAAATATGATTTGTTGCTTACACAAGAGTAGGAAAACAGTCCAATAGTGCAAAATAGAAAATCCCTAAACAGACAAAATATACAAAAATATTTGAGCACATGATGACAGTGGTAATTTTGAAATATAAATCTTGAAGTCAGGTGGGATGGCATTCAAATTCCCAACTCCACCACACACAAATTATATTTAAACTTTCTGAATACCAATGTCCCCATCTGTAAAATGGTGATAACATTAATAAGATAAAATAAAATAAGGTAAGTGAAGCAGTACCTGGGCCACACTGAATAAATGGATGTCCAGGTGAAAATGTCAGGTAGGCAGTTGGATGAGACAAGTCACAGGAGAGGTAGGGGAAGAGCTTACAGAGAGGTAGGTTCAAGGGAGAAGCCAGAACTGGATATACAAGTATGGATGACCTTTAGACTGCCATGAAAGTCATGCAATTCAGTGCAGGGATGAGATGATAAGAAATAAATCAGGATGAGATGAAATAGACAAGAGGGCATAGCCTTCTGGTCCTCAGCACTGGCCTTCCAATGATTTTTCCTGAATCTTATTTCACACTATCAAAACCAAGCTAGCCATTTTCTAGCTCTGTAACCAAAGGCAAGTTATGGAAACACTTTATGACTCAGCTTTCTCACTTGTAAAATGAGAATAACAAACTCAATGTGGAGATTAAATATGTTAATGTATATAAATTGCTCAGAACAATTGCTTAAGCTCAATGTGGAGATTAACAACATTAATGTATATAAATTGCTTAGAGCAATGACTGGCACCCAGTAAGGGCTATGGAAATGCTTATTATCACTGTTATTCAAGTTTCAGGAAAGTCAGTAGATTTGTGCATAAGAATATCCACTGTTGCCTGTGTTGTGTTTGTGAATGTGTGTGCTTTGAAGAAAGATTGTGACTATAGAGCAGCACTGACCAATAACAAACCTTATATGCAATTTTAAATATTCTAGTAGCCACATTTAAAAAACAATATTAATAACATATTATATTTCATCTAACATATCCACATATTATTTCAACATGTGACGAATCCAATGTATTAGTGAGCTATTTCACAGGTATAATCTCTCTGTTTGAACAAGCCCATTTTAAATGTTCTATAGCCATGTGTCGCCATAGACCATTATATTGGACATCACAGCTGAAGATAAATGAGAAGATTTGAAGCCAGACACGTGACATGTCTAAGGGAATGTCAAGAGAATAACTTGATCTAAGATAAAGGAAAAGGAAGAGAAAATTTCTGCAAATGAAAGATAAACGTGTTTTTTTTCTCTCTAGTAAATGCGCATTTTATCATTCCCCTATCAAACAGAATCTTGATTCATGATCTACAAGAAGTGATTGAGAAACAGTTTGATGTTAAAGAAGATATTCCCGGCAGGCACACCTATGCAAAGTACAACACCTGGGACAAGGTACAGTGTAAAATGCCTGTGCTTCCAAAAACAAAGAGTTATCCTCAGTATTTGTTGTCGTTTAGTTTTCTTTTATTCTAATTGATCAAATTAAATTTGCTCTTAAGATTGTTGCTTGGACTGAAAAAATGGTGCATAAGCATCCTGAAATGGTCTCTCGCATTAAAATCGGAACTACTATTGAAGATAATCCGCTGTACGTTCTCAAGGTAAAAATAACTCAAGAACTTCTGATTCTTACTATTGTTGAAAAACACAAATCTCAAAGTTACTTTTTGACACATATAGCTAACTTTGATACAATAAAAAGTCTTATTTTTTGAAGAACGTTTAAGCTCCCATTCTAGAACAGGAATGACAATTGGTGTTAACTGGAACCAAGAATGTTCCTGATTAAACCATTTGTCAGACACAGTGGAGGAACACAGACAAACATCTTATCCTATATCTTTATTATAAGAGTCTCTGATGTCTCTGGTGCATAAAACAGTTTTCCATCCATTAAAATTCAGTGACACTGATGATTAAAATGTCATGAAGTAAAGAGAAATCAAAGAATCATAGGACCCCAGAACAGTCAGTGAGGCATTTAATCCGATGTTGATGGGGGATTCCCTTTTACAACTGAGCTAATAATGGCCACCCAGCTGCCTTTGGATCTTTATACATCCAAAGACACTGCTCCCTGATACACCCCCTTCATAACTGGGCAGCCCTTCCTTGTCCTAAACTCCCATCCATTCCTTCTCTCCAACCCCCCAAAACAAATCTAACCTCTCTTCAAAATGACAGCCCTTCAAACATCCAGCCACTATTCCTGTTCCTACTTCAAACACACTACAGAATATTTTCCACTCCAAGCAACACACCCCCAGGTTATAAAGACAGATTTTTTTTTAAAAAAATGGCAGAAACAGAAGCAATTTAATAATCTATGTCTCAGACCAAACAGTTAACAGTACAATAAGAAAAACAATAGATTGTGATTAAAAAACAAAACTCAAAGCAACTCTGACACCAAGGAAGACTTTTGAAACCCTGCTAGATACCAGATTATGAACTGTGTGTAGACGTGTCAGGATAAATGCCGTGGAGCCCCTTAGAGCAGCAGGTGCTCACCTTACCCATTCAACAGGAGACGGGGAGCATGGCTTTGAGGACACCAATGAGTTACAGGGCAACAAGAGACCTCGGTGTGGATTCATGCAAAACCGTATCTCGACTTTCTTTTCAACTAGATTGGAACAGGGGATGAAAGAAGAAAGGCTATTTTTATGGACTGTGGCATCCACGCCCGGGAGTGGATCTCCCCCGCATTCTGCCAGTGGTTCGTCTACCAGGTAAGCGCACTGGAGCAAACACACTTCTCCTTCGACCGGGAAGCCTCCAGCTCATCACTGAGTGGCAACCACCCTTCCAAACAGGGCAGGGCCCCTGGACCAGACGAGCCCACTTGGATGCAGGCAGGAAACAGACGCTCTGGATTTTACTCAGCATTGTTTGTACAACATTGACACCTTCCTTCAGACTTCTTACGCAGCTTAGAAAACAAAAAGAAATGTTTTCTGTGACCGCATGAGACCTCTCCTATAGTGAGATATGAAAATCTGAAACGATCTCACTATTGCCACCTACAAACGCGGCCTCTCTTCGGCCGGCTCAAAGCGCAAGCCCGCCGTGCCTGGTTAGGTGTTTCACCCACCACACCTGCGCTGGGCACACTTCAAGGTCTTTCCCACGGGAAAAATAACTCACCTGTTTTTTTAAAAAAAAGTTTGTTATTCCTCTCACTCTGTCTCCATTATATTCTGACTCCTGTTACATTTAACTTTCTCTGTCTACAGCTTTGGCATTTAATACATGCCGTGGCTCTCTGGGCATAGATAGCTTCACTGGGAATGAATCTGCGGTAGCACTGATTGATTCCTGCGGTTCTTAGCTCTTCCAGCTGAAGGCCCGAGCTCCCCGTACTCAACCCAGGAGGGAACACCCATCACAGGACTAGAGGACACCTTTGGGCCCACTACAGTTGTACCTGGAAGGGAGTTTCCAAGAACAATGGCAGATTTTAGGTAGCCATAGGAAGTTCAGATAATTGGAGAAATTTCAGTCACATGCGAGAAAACCAACGTTGATTGATCAATTTCTAAACCCTTTGAGTTTTTTTAATCAATAGAACACTTTTTCTTTCATCCCATTTATAATTAATTGCGGAGTCCTCTCCCAGATTTACTTATTCTTATGCCTACAAACTCAATCCATGTTTACATAGGAATATGAGGGAAATAATTCATGTAAAATAAGTGGCAGTGCTAATTTTTCACTTGGTCTCTGTTCTTCCTATGAGCTGTACCTGCATGCTACATCTGAAATGCTACCCGTCTCTAGAATTAAATTATCCTGTAGAGGATGCTCAGTTCAATTAATTTCATTAGTCTGAATGAATGTCTTTTTTTCTGTTGTCTAAATGGGTCATTTATTTTTCTGCAGTTTAGGAGAAATATATTAGAAATCATGTAATGTTAGGCAAAGGACTTAAGGAGTGGTAGTTATTACTCTTATAACCACAGCTTTCCACGTGGTAGTTAAACTGGACACCAACAGCTTCTGTTTTTTTCCTATCCCTACAGGCAGCCAAAAGTTACGGTAAAAACAAAATTATGACCAAACTCCTAGACCGAATGAATTTTTATGTTCTCCCTGTGTTTAACGTTGACGGGTATATTTGGACCTGGAAACAGGTACTGTTCTGTACTTTCTCTTCTACATGTAGGAAATATATTGTTTACTGACTTTAATGCACACTAATTGCTATGCATTAAGTTTTAGGGGTAACCAGTTAATTCCAATTCAGGAAAGTATATTTTTAAAAATCTCAATTTCAGACTAAAGCAAGCAAGATTTCCTCGCTGCATAGGTGTCCTTGAAATAATATGACATTTTTGCGGCTGAAGCTGGAAATGTGGGGAAATGAAATAAAGCAGTAATTATAAAGGAAACCTATGTTATATGATAAAGCAAAAAACACATTCTAGCTAAGAATACAAGTCATTTAAAGATATTATGAACACATTAACTTCGAAGCAAAAGTCACTGTATTCCATGAACTTGGGACAGAATTTGAGGAGGAATAATTGTATCAAAAATAAATTTTAAAATGACACCGATATCTGTCTGTCTTATAACAAGATCCTTTATTTCCTTGCTGTTGCTAAGTAAGAGTAATAACGAACTTCTAGACAGATGCTATCGCATCAGGTTCTCTCTGAAAATTACGCTTCAACAGTCACAATTTACCTAAATTCTATCTGAATCTATAAATGGTTTGCGATGCGATGAAGTTATAATTTGAAGTATAGGTCATTTCAGAATATCATTTATCTTTTCCAATACTGAGAACTAATCAACCATTTTTAAAACTATCTGAATTAGTTAGAATATTAATATAAAAAGCAATATTTCTGCCCTGGCTTGGTTGGCTCAGCGGTTAGAGCGTTGGCCCATGGACCGAAGAGTCAAGGGCTCGTTTCCAGTCAAGGTCACGTACCCCAGCCCTGGCTGGGGTTGTGCAGGAGGCAAGCAATTGGTGTGTCTCTCTTACCTCCCACTCTATCTGAAAATCAATGGAAACATATCCTTGAGTGAGGATTTTTTTTTTAATAAAAAAGAAAAGCAGTATTTTTGAAAATGTTCCAAGTTATAAGAAAACAATATATTTTTTCTTTATGATAAAGGGCCTCGGTTTAAGTAGATAGATTTCCAATAAAGCTGTAGACACTTGCAGAGAGGATCTGAAATTATCAAACCGAAAAACGCAACCTGATCTGCTGTAAACACTTCCGTCACTTAATCCCGCAGAACCGCATGTGGAGGAAAAACCGGTCCAGGAACCTGAACTCCAAGTGCATCGGCACTGACCTCAACAGGAACTTCAATGCCTCGTGGAACTGTGAGTTGACTTGATCTCGAGGAAAAGAGCAATAGAGAGAGTTTTGACACCAACTTTAGTTAAACCACCTACTTATTTCAGTAAAGATATGTATCACCCGAGTGAGCGTTAATTTTCTAATCTAAAAAATGAAAGATAATCATCACTGCTACAGAAGTATCATGGATTTTTTGTTGTATGGGAGGAAGTCGGGTATCTATCAAACCATCTCTTAATATATTGAGCTCGTTAAAAGTGAGGCACAATCTAGATGTACAACAATTCAGATAATCAGAAGAGAGGTCTCCTGTGCTTCCTCATCCCGGACTGATAAAAGTTGAGAAACAGCAGTGGTTACAATTAACAGATGGTAGTTTTCAGAAGTTCAGTGAAACAAAACTTCTGGGGAAAAGAGAGTAAAAGGTTTAATGGGAATGCAATAATAAGCAAAGACCTGCCATATCAGATGACTCTGTGTCGCTACGCAAATATGCCTTCATCATTAGATATATTCAAGGAGAAATTATCATGACCCCAATTCATCATATTTTTTACTACCTAACTTTGTTACCTGAGCTTTTAATTCTATTCTACCGTAATGAATATGATAATAGCAACTTCCTTAGTTGAGAGCTACTTGGGTTGAAGAAACTTGGGCCCAAAGAAAGTAGCCAATACCCAGCAAGTTGGAGCCGAGGTTCAGTTGGAAGTGGGACCTATCTGACCCCGGGCCCTGGGCTGCTCCTGGTGCATTTCTCCTGGGACGCTGGGAAAAGGAGGTGAAGTGAACAAGGCTGAGAAAAGTCCAGTAGGCTAACTGTGTCACACTCAGAGCGGCGTGTACAAGTCTGCAGGGACTACCACCGGGAACGCAGAGCGGCCCTGTACACCTGGGAGACCAAAATGCTCAGAGCACCAGAAGAAGGGGGGCTGTGCTGAGGGGAGCAGACTGTGATCTCCTCCCTCCATGTCCTATGCAGCTTTTCCTGACACCAACAAACCGTGCGGGGAAACCTACGCGGGCCCCGCCCCGGAGTCCGAGAAGGAGACCAGAGCTGTCACCGACTTCATTCGAAAGCACCGGAAGTCGCTGGAGGCCTACATCACCATCCACTCCTACTCCCAGATGGTACTGTTTCCTTACGGATACACAGCAAAACTGCCACCTGACCAGGAGGAACTGGTACGTAGGAAAAACCTGTGGTTTCCGTGTTGACACCAACATTGACTTTCAGTTGTTCTTCAGGGACAACTTGGGCTCTGTGAAAAGAACCCCACCTTGTAATGCCAAAGAAAAGAGCTAATCAAGTATTCCTTGGAGTTAAATCATAATCCTTAGATTATTTTTTCATGTGATAAGAGAATACACTTAATAAAATCTTTCAACATGATTCTAAGATAAAGTCAGTAAGAAGAAATGTCTAGGCCATCAGAGTAGAATTCCATTACTACATAGATCATTAAACATTTACAATACACCAGACTATAAAAACCACACACGGCAAAAGCCTAATAGAACAGCAACGACACCTATTAAATCAGATATCAGATTTAAGGATAGCCACTGTGTTTTTATCCTCTAGATCAATTTGGACATTATATTATTCTTTTAGTATCCAAAGAAAGACCATTATTATCCAAAGAATGTTTGTGAAACTCCTAAGAACAGTCTTTCCAGAACTATGATTCCTTAAACATCCTTTTTCATTCTATGGAAACTAATTTTTTAGCTTTAAAAACAATTCTACATATGGATTTCAATGAATCACAAGAATTGGCAGTGTGAATAAATGAATATGCACATAAAGAAATAAACATTTTAATTGCTGTAGAAGAAAAGAAATAAAGCAAATAAAATCAGCATCCTAGATCCCATGGAGGTTGGCAAATATAACAAATCCAGTAAAAGCTGTGGTTCAAATACTGCCCCATAAAAAAAATAAATAAATAGCCCTGGCCAGTTTGGCTCAGTGGTTAGAGCATCAGCCTGCGGTCTGGAGAGACCCGGGTTCGGTTCCCGCTAAGGGCACGTACCTCGGTTGCAGTTTGTCCCCGGCCCTGGTTGGTCGTGCAGGTGGCAGCCACTCGATGTGTCCCTTCACATCGATGTTTCTCTCCTCTCTCTCTGTTCCTCTCTCTCCCTCCCACTCTACCTGAACAAAAAATGGAAAAATGTCCTCGGGTGAGGATAAAAAATAAATAAATAAATAAATAAATAAAATAATTTAAATTTTAAGAGATCACAATTATCATCCTGACTTAAATCCACTGTTTCAACCAAACAGTATTTAATTTTGAGTTGAAGCAGAGATTTGGACCAATCATTAAAACCATCTGTGCATATACAACAAAGAAAATATACAAGCAATTTATGACCCATAGAATCATTTATTTAACCAATCTAGTGGAGAATCTGAATTGATGAGTATGAATAACTCATACAAAGACACAGTAATGCAATGTCAATCTATCCTTCGCAAAATGGCACTATGATTAAAAAATACAAATATACATAACAAAACATCTGCTTAAACTAAGAGTTTGTACACAGTAACTAAATTAAGAAAAGATATTGCTTGGTTATATATATTATGTACATAGACTAAAATAATCTTCATTTTAAGTACAAATATGTTGCCCTGGCCGGTTTGGCTCAGCAGTTAGAGTGTAGGCCTGTGGTCCGGAGAGACCCGGGTTCAGTTCCCACTAAAGGCACGTACCTCAGTTGCAGTTTGTCCCCTGCCCCGGCTGGTCGTGCGGGTGGCAGCCACTCGATGTGTCCCTTTCACATCAATGTTTCTCTCTCTCTCTTCCTCTCTCTCCCTCCCACTCTATCTGAACAAAAAATGGAAAAATATCCTCGGGTGAGGATAAAAAAAAAAAGTACAAATGTGTTAGTGACTATATTCCACTAAAGTCTGTTCCAATAAATCATTCTCATAACACAAAACACTAATGTGGATTAAAGGTTATGAAATGCTACTTTGGAAGAAAACTCTAATTTAACAGAATTCTTTTAAAGAGGATCGACTACCTTTCTTCCCTTAGCATGCTAGACTCTGATGCAGAGAAAGTCCCAGGGCGATGTAGAAACTGTAAAGACAAAGGAAGGAGGGACTGGCTTGGAAGAGACACAGATCTGAAGCCAGTGGCAACATGGATGGACTCTGAGAATATTACGCTAAGTGAACGACATCAGGCAGAAAGAGCTAAGGACCGTATGTTATCAGTGGAAGTGGGGTATCCCTTTCCCACTGAGTGCTCGGCATGGAGTCCTCACAATATCTTGTGAAAAAGAATTTTCTGAGACTCACATGGGAGGAGGAGTGATTTTTATTTGTGTGGAGTGACATCCCTGGGTTTCCAAGTCCCATTTCCCTTAGTCCAGTCCTGGAAGAAGCATAGTTGAGGCTTCAGTACAACTAGAAGCAAACACAGTGACCAGAGTTTCTGTTCCATGTTGCAGTGGGGCCCGGTCCAGCATCAGGCTAGTTAATAGTCCATTAGTCCATGGGGGGGGGGGTTCTCCCATGACATGGCTGCAAGAGTATCTTTATGATTTCACTTATATGTGGGATATAAAATTGGAAGTTATAGATACAGACAACAGTACGGAGGTTACCAGAGGGAAGGGGGATGGGGTAATTAAGGGTTTAGGGGGCCAAATATATCGTGACAGAAGATGATTTGACTTTCGTGGTGGGCACACAGTGCAATATAGAGATCATGTATCACAGAAATGTACACTTGAAACCTAAATAATTTTATAAACCAATTTCACCACACAAAAAAATTAATTAAAATGAATGAAATAAAATACCAAACCTAAAAAAACAATCTGAAGCCAGAACAAAAGTTGAGAATTAGAAGAAAGATACATTTTTTTATAAGGAACGATGGAATGAAGAGAGGGGGAAGTCAGAGAGGCTATGAGTGAAGAAAGAGAGGGAGAAAAGAAAGTTTAGAAACACAAAATGAGATAAGACATTATTGTAGATTACTGATTTCACATTTAGAAGTCTTCACAATGGCCCAGCCGGTGTGGCTCAATGGGTGAGCGTTGACCCTACACCAAGAGGTCGCCATTTCGATTCCCTATCAGGGCACATGCCCAGGTTGTGGGCCAGATCCCCAGTGGGGGCATGCAGGAGGCGGCCAATAGATGTTCTCTCATCAATGTTTCTATCTCTCTCTCCCTCTCCGTTCCTCTCTCTCTAAAATCAATAAAAGAAAAAAAATTGTTAATTATAATAATAAAAAAAAAAGAAGTCTTCACAATGACAATATGTCTTACTGAAAATAAATTTCCCATTTAACCATTTATTTTATTTTGGTCTTCAAATGCCTAATGACGGGTATAATTGACATTTTTGCCCCCCGTAAATTAATGGCATTTACATAGTACCCTAACTTCCTGACTGCCGTTCTTTCCAGACCAAAGTCGCAAAGGTCAGCACTGATGCTTTATCATCTCGATATGAAACCCGCTACATCTACGGTTCGATAGCATCAACAATTTGTAAGTCGTTCCTGTTACTTACTGTGTCATTTTCCCTGATTCTTATTTTATAAATATCTAAGAAAAGTATAGACTTTGTAAAAAGTTTTAGAACATTTGGAACTGGTAATTTAACCTTCTTTTTTAACAGGTGATTTAGAATTATATGTGAATCTGGGGGAGATAAAATCTGCCACTGGTGAGGATAATATTTGTCTAGCAATAAATTATACTGAACGTGTGACAAGGTGACAAGGTCAGAAGTTGTTACATCAAGACTAATTTACAGTTAGATTCAGCCCCTTCCTGTTTCCACCAACCACACAACATGTTATCCTCACAGGAATAATAAGAATTAGTTGGTGCAGCCCCGGCTGGTTAGAGCATCAGCCCTCGGTCCAAAGAGTCACAGGTTCGATTCCGGTCAAGGGCAAGTACCTCGGTTGTGGTTCGGTCCCTGGCCCTGGTCAGGGCATTTGGGAGGCAACCAATACATGTATCTCTCTCTCTCTCTCTCTCTCTCTCTCTCCTCCCTCCCTCCCTCCCTCCTTCCCTCCCTCCTTCCCTCCCCCTCCCACTCTATCTCAAGATAAATGGAAAAGTATCCTCTGGTGAGGATTAAGAAGAAAAAAAGAATTAGTTGGTACAGAGTTGATACATTTTTTAATCATTTAACTGTAGCGGACTCTTTCTTACTTGGGCTGGTCCCCCAGGGAAGCACAGTCTTCTCCCCAACTCCCTTTGGAAAACAGGTGGGCACACAGTTTCACCCCTTTGATCATGAAAGACCGACTTCCTGTCTTTCTCACCAACCCCTTCCCATCGTGTTAACTGAAATCTACAAGGTGGATTAAGAAAGGTGGAGGGATTGAGGGGAGGAGAGAGAGGGGGAGGGAGAGAGAGAGAGGGAGAACTCATGGACAGGAACAACAGGGCAGTAATTGTGGGGAAGGAGGAGGGTTTAGCAGCGATAAACAGTGATGGGAAAAGAAAAGAAAAAAAGAAAGGAGGTCACAGGGTCTATTTTTATCTGTTTCAGAATCTCAGCGCCACTTCTTCCTCTGAGCTATTTTTAGACTTTCTTTGTGCATTTTAGATTATTGACTGATATTTTCTACAAGTCAGGCTCAGCCCTTGGTTTTCACAATCCCAATTAATCCTCACAAGACCTTGGATCTTGGGCAGTACCTGAAACTAGCTAAACTAGGATTCATTCTCAGGTTTTAACAAAAACCAAAGCCCAGGATTTTGACCACTGTGCCTACTGCCTTCCCATTTGGTTTCTGCAGCTAAAATAATCAGGCTTTTCAATTTTCAAGCAATGAAAAAATTCATTTGGATTTCACCAAAGACCATTAATTCAGACCCTGGGAAATGAGATCATGTCTGCTCTTGTGGCCAGATCCTGCTCTTGTTACTTTGGAAATACTTTAATAAAAATTGCCTTTCCGCCAACCCATTTCCGAGCTTCGGTTCTTAGGCCCAAACGTTACAGAAAATTCCCAATGACACTGCTTACAAAACCTTAACTTCTTTTTTTTATTATTATTAATTTTTTGGTTTATTGATTTTAGAGAGAGAAGAAGGAGAGGGAGAGAGAGAGAAACATCGATGAGAGAGAACATCGATTGGCTGCCTCCTGCATGCCCCTCACTGGGGATCAGGCCCACAGGTGGGCATGTGTCCTGACCAGGAATCGAACCAGTGACCTCTTGATGCATGGGTTGATGCTCAGCCACTGAGTCACACCAGCCGGGCCAAATCCTTAACTTCCTAACAAAATTTAATTCCTCAAAAGCAAGGATTAAACTTCTGATCTCCTCCCAGACTACATAATATCTAGCACAGGGCAGGGCATGGACAACATCAGAAATAGTTCCCATAAACTTGCTCCATGAAAGTGGTGTCCTGACTTGTCCCAAAGAGCGAATGTGGGTGGAAGCCACAAGACTAGACTTGATGTCGCCTGCATCCCTCTCTGGGGCTATGACAGCCAATATTTTAGCACGAAGACTGCATTGCATGGACAACTCCCCACCACCAAATGCACACCCTTACTTCCATTATAGTTTCAGAATATGTGGATTGAAAAAGTGAATATGTACCTAGAACCTATGGATTCCTTGTAATAACTCTACCTGACCACACCTTACCAACCACTTGTCTAATCCAAGCTAAAAGTATAAACTTTGACTAAAAGTCTATCGCTCACCAATTGCCATGACATTTGAAAATTCCGTAGTCATTACATACAACTTCTAGGGCCAATTTATTAGAGGCCCCTTTGGTGAAATTGGATAAATGAAAAGAAACAGAAAAAACTAGATGCATCAGCAATCAATCAGTCTTTGTCAAAGGGCAGAACAAACGTTCAATGACACAGCCAATCGCCAGCATCCAAACAGATCATGCTGCAACGTAGTCACACCAGAAATTCATCATTCGTACAAGTGGATGACAACAAGGTTTCAAAACAAGTCATATACCCAGCTACGTGTGTGGACAAAAAGCAAACAAAGCAAAGAACCGGAGAACAGACTAGAACAGCAGTTTGAACGGCAGCCTCCTGAGTGGACACTGAGAAATAGCAGGGCCAGATAGGCCACCAGCTAAGCAGGAAAAACACACAGATATTCTTAGCATCAAAGAACAAAGCGTCCCAGGAAATCAAAGGATCCTTACTCTCCCCCTTGCCACATCTCTGCAGGCAAATTATGAGCAGATTAGAAGCGTGCATGGCATTGCATCACGATCGTTTAATTTAGGGAGCACCTGCCTAGTAATGGCCGCAAGAATTTATGGAGCCCTGGCTGGTGTGGCTCAGCGGTCAGAGCGTCGGCCTGCGGACCTCAGAGTCCTGGGTTCGGTTCCCGCTAAGGGCACGTACCTGGGTTGCAGTTTGTTCCCAGCCCTGGTTGGGGTCCTGTGGGTGGCAACCAGTCGATGTGTCTCCCTCACACTGATGTTCTCTCTCTCTCTTCCCTTCTCCCTCCCGCTCTATCTGAAGACAAATGCAAAAATGTCCTTAGGTGAGGATTATTTAAAAAAAGCATTTATGGAGCGCCTGCCTAGTAATTGCCACAGGAATTTAGGGAGCGCCTACCTAATGACTGCCCCGCACTCTGGAGCTTTGAGAGGGGCGAGAAGAGTTCAAACACAACGGCTGCTCCCAGGGAGCTACCCTCCAGCTGGCAGAGAGCCAGAGACACCATAGCTCCATGCCATCCTGTGTCACTTCCGAAATGAGAGGAATTAGTAGACCGTACAGCCGTGTAGCAACATTTTAAACTTTTTATTATCTGATATTCAAAGATGTTTCTTAAATTCAGATTTAGGAAGCATTGCCTCTCCATACAGGGCTGCAGCGCCTGGGCGGATGGCCAGAACTGTTGCAGAGGCAGCTCTAGTAAAACACCTGACTGCATGTGAGACGCGCGCGAGGAGTCGGGGTACACAGTGGCTGGTCTGATAGAATAAGGGCGCCCGCAATTAAACTCTAGTCATTCTAGTGTCCTGAATGTTACTTAGCAAGTCCCAGGGTTTGGGGAAAGTGTCCAGCACTCACCAGTATTTTTTGCTCTTTGATTTGATAGAGGCAGGAGCAAGGTCTAAGGGAGCATTTTTTTTAAAAACCCAAATTATGGAGAGATCTCTGACTTGCAAAAGAAATAAATATGTTTGCAATTTGAATCTAAGAAGCAAACATAGCAAATAACTTAAAGCCGAAAAAATGTTTAAGCCAGGAGGACACATAAAAGATGATCTAATTCAGTGGTTCTCAGCCTTTCTCATCTCACAGCATGCATAAATGAATTATTAAAATTCTGCAGCACACCAAAAAAAAAAAAAAAATACATTTTTTGCTGACCTGACAAAAAAATAGGTGTACTTTTGATTCATTCACACAGAGCAGCTATTGTTGTGTTGGCTGTCGTCATTTTTTGTTTGACAATCTAAGAAAAACGAGGTCAGTGGCTCTGACTAGTCAGGCAGGCATTGCATGTTTTAAAAATTCTTGCGGTTCCCTGGTTGAAAAGTGCGATCTAAGTCGTGGTTCTTAAGCCTCACTTCCCATTAGAGTCTCGGAGAAGCTTTTATACTACACAGATGATCAGGCCCCACCCCAAAACATTCTGATTCCGTTAGTCTGTGGTGGGTCCCACACTGGTATTCTTTTGAAGTACCCAAAGCGACTGTAAGCTGAAGCTAGGGTGAGAACCGCTGATCTTAGCTAGCTAAATCCCTCACTTATAGAGCATAACATTGACCGGCAGAGAGCAGAATTGGAAGAAAAATCCTCTTCCCAGACCATAATCAAATGGTTTAGCACATACTCTGCCACCAGCAGCAGTATACAGAACGCACAAAAATTGATGTTAAGAGATTGTGAATTGTTTATATTTGCATATTGACAGCATATCCAATCTTTGACCATCTTAGAAATAACTGAACATAGTACCTGGTTAGCAAGACCAGTTCATCGAATTAATAGAACCCAGGTCACTTGTATCACCTTAAATATCATCCATTTGTGAGTCACATCATGAATTAAAAAGTTAATTTCAAAGTGCATTTTTTAGTGCCTTCCCACGCACCAAAGTTGCTAGATCTGCTCCTATTTCTCAACCTTGTGCTGTTTTTCACAATATATTTTGAAAAGGAGAAAATCAAGACTTCAGAGTTGTAGTTCACAACACCCAATATCTATCTACTAAGAAATCCAAGCTGAGATAATATCAACCAACAGAAGGGAAGAGAAAACATCTCCATTTATGATCATGCATCTCTAGCTTCAGCTCTTGCTTCAGATAGAATTTTCACTTAGTGTTGATGTGACAGGGAAGATTATTTTGTTTAACGCATGTCAATAAACTTAAAAAAAAAACATACATCAATTCCCCAGCATCACTTCCTGTGGGTTCCTTTGGGCTAAAACCAGGTTCCTAGCTTAGTTCAGTTCTACTTTGACTTGTTTTGATTATATTACAGTAAGTTCTTTGCACCTAATGTGCTTTGAAAGT